TCCTCTTATTCCAATTTGTTGCTTGTTTAATTAATTTTCCATTTGATAAAGTTCTATGGCATTGTTGGCCCTGGGTACTCAACATCTTATCGGTATAATCTGTTGAACAAACCAAAGAAAAGTGATACTCCTGATGAATATTCTATGTTTGGTTTCAAGATATCAATTTTTAACCCCAAACACTAATTCTCCTCTCTGATTTCTTGCCTTAAATGGGGTGGCAGTGACACCTGTGAAATAAAATTCAGCAGTCATCCACTGTGGAAAAAAGGGAAAGATAACTCTCGTCTTGTCTGTGTAATTGATTCTTTTCCTTTTCTTCGTATCTTTCCATTAAAAAAACAAATAGATATGAATGGTGCTAATTTTCTTCATCTGAAAATTGCTTCCCGCGAAAATTTCACCCATTAGATTTATGTAACCCGACCATAAGATTCTAGCATTAGATATATCAGGTGATTTGGAAAATAAATTTTGAGAAAAATATTAGACAAAATTAGCTTTACTCAAAACGATGGTAATGGCAGAGTAGATTTTTCATTTCTGATTGAATAAGCATGGCGTAAGAGTGATATGCAATGTTCATTTTCTCTATGTGTTCAATTTTGTTATTCTTAAAATTAAAAAACCAACCAATTTTTGGATCTCATTTGGTTTGTCATTAATCTGCCAAATACCACTTACAAGTAATGCTAATCTTATTCCTGTTAGAAAAAACAAATAGTAATTTTGTCGAATTCACTTTTCAAAAATTTTTGGACCGTTGGATCTTTGATGAAATACGCTTATTCAATTTACGAGATTCTTATTTGATATATAAAATATTCAAAATTTTATTAAGACTAGTAAGATGTTTTTGTTTATATTCTAAATTTAATATTTGATTTTGAATTCAATAATCTGAATTAAAAGAGAGAAATAAAAAAATAATAAGTTGAATTTTTATTATTTTTATCCTGCATTCAATCCTGTTCATCTAATTTTGATTTAAAGAACACAATGAGAATTTAAATCTGGCATTACTATTGGATTTATAAAAAGTTTTTTAAATGGGACATGCCTATTCAATGTATGAGATATTTATTCAATGTATAAGATGTTTTTAAAAGTCAAAGATTAACATTACTATTTATTTTATAGAATTCCTATAAGAGATCCATTACTATTTAACTTATGGAATCCCTACATGAAATCTCTATTCATTTTTTTAAGTGAATTCCATAAGAATATTTCTTGATATTAGTATTGATTTTGAATTCAGGTATCAGGATAAAGTCAAATAATTAAACAATATAAGATAAATTATTTTTATTTTTATTACGTAGTAAATCATGTTTACTCATATTGAATTTAATAATTTTAATTTAAGAAACATGACTATCGTATTTTAAAAAAAAAAAAAAAAAAAAAAAAAAAAAAAACCCTAGATCTACTTTTAAACTAACAAAATTATTTAATAGATTCCACTCATTTAATATATAAGATATTTTAAAAAATGAAAGAATATTCATTTAGGATATTCCTTCATATTATGATTTTTATCTTCATCTGTTAAAAAAAAAAAAAAAAAATCTTTCGAGTTGAATTCATGTTAGCCAGCTCGTTTTGTAGGAACCCTTCTAGGAGTAGTGGCCTCAAGTGGGTTTAGGTGTGTCTATAAATTGGTAGCCTGCCCAACTACCCAGCCCAACCCAAAATCGAAAGGGCATGATTGAATTTTTGAAGCCTTTCTATTGAATAAAATTAAATTTCAACAGGAAAAATGAGAAATTTCCATGCATAACGAAAGGAATAAAAATAGTTCTAGCCCCCCGACGAGCTCCAGAAAAAACTCCCTCTATTTACATTTTTTTTTCCTGCAAATCTATCACTTTGAAGTTCTCAATTATACTCCTTGATAACATCTCATTAGTTGACTTCAATTATTAGCCTGTCTCCTTCGGCAGCTAAGACCTGAGGTGGAGCTCTGAAGTGGGTTTCAGGGGGTTGGGTAGGCTGCCCATCTATTCGGCCCAACTAGAAAATGACATGACCATGATCGTACTTTTGAGCCACGTACCTGTTTAAAATAATTTTCAGCGTTGTTGTCCAAAAAAAAAAAAAAAAGAATTAATAGAAACAAGCCATGACATGCGAGAGAAATATTCATAGCCCTAAAAAAAAATTGTTTGTCCAATTAAATTGGTGGTACTCTTTAGTTACATAATCTCCTCTTCTACATGAAAGTATGGAAATAGAAATCACGATAATCCCCGAGTTATATTCAGAGGCTAAATGGTTAAAAGGAAAAGGAATTTCCTTTCCTTTTGGAGTCTATGGTGGTGGTTTAGTTGGTCTTAATGCAATGCATCATCATCCCACCTATAAAACATCATAGCCCCTGCCCCGCTAACCCCCTCCCCCACTCAATATTTCAGTTTTAATAATAATGAGTTTTTTCAACAATTATATGAACAAATATTTTTATTAAGATTTATTCTCATATAAACGTTGACACTGTTGTGATCTTCACATTATGATTGTTGATGAGGTAGTTTTCAATTCAAATAAATTATGTGGTGATTCTAGTATGATAAATATGAATTTAATTGTGAGTACTTATAAAACAAGTCTTTTTTTTATAGGTGGAGGATCTTTTTACGGTTAAGTCGGCACGAGAGATAGAGATGTATAATATGAGTAAGTTATAAAGAGATTAATTTTTGTGTATAGATAATAATGGATAATATATTTATTTTGAAATTAAAGACGAACTTAGTAGTTTTTGTATAAGAGAATATATGATTAACTTGTATGGAGTGCATAAAACGATCTTTTACGTTACGTTCAAAAATCTTTAACATCCACTTAAGGGTTTTGAATTTTTTTGATGATGGTTATTGTCCGACAATACATATAGTCATAGTTGGTAATGACATGACATGAGTAATTCAAAAATCGTTAAATGAATTTTTTTATCTACTAAATAGGTAAAAAGGCATCTTTTTTACCTAAATCCTCTTCTACGATCAAATGTCAAGTTGGTTTGTTTTGGCAGAAGAGGGCCGCTTATGGTGTAGCTTGTGGCGGTCTAAAGGTCTCTAGATGCATCATAAGTGAGGGTGCTTGTTATGTTTGAGTGTTGGTGAAAGTCTAGTTAAATATCTTTTCTCTTCTTATGTCGTTATAGATGTTTCTATTAAAATTTTGATGCGTCATTACATCTAGAGAGCATCCACTGACAAAATACTAGAATTAGAAAAATTAAAAGAAGTAGAGCGAGCTATAATCTCTTGATTTTTAGCCATGGATAGAAACTTAATAATGGAGAAATAAAACAATTATGTTGGCTTTTTGCTTGTTTTCTATAGGCTTGTGCTATCGACGAAGTTGTGATCCTCAAATTATGATTATTGATGAGACTCTTCTAATTTAAGTTGATCGTCCGATGATTTTAGCATGATGAATATAAATTCAATAGCAAATACTTGCAAAATAAATTCTCTTTTGGTAGATGAAGGAACTTTTAATGGCTAAATTAGTTTATAAAGAGATATATATAATTTGAATTGATTATAAAGAAATTATCTCTTGTATGTAGACAATGATAGATAATATAACTAATTTGACTTTAGAAGATAAAATCTATAATATTTAGCTTGTTAGCTTTTATATAGAAAAATATATAATTAACTTATATGGATCGAGTGCTAAGACGATATTTTTTATTACGCTCAACAATCTTTACATCCATTCGAGAGTTTAGAATCTTTTTTAACAATGATCGTTATTTGATGACGTATATGTAATTATAATTTGTGATTATGGGACAACATATAATCTAAAATGTCATATTTTTATTAAATAAATGTTATTTTTGTCTACTAAATAGGTGAGAAGATATTTTTTTTCAGATTCAATGAATGGTTTTTTTTATTCAAGTCGTTCGTCTGTACTGCTTTCACAGGCCAACCCGGCTACGGTGACAAATTAGAATCATTATATTCATAGCTGATTTATGATCGAGTGATTTTTAAATAAGATACAACAATATTTCTCATGATAATGATTACATAAATATATCAAATCAAATACATTAAATTTAAATATTAATTTTAATATTTGAATTCAAAAATAAAGAACAACTCATCTTAACATCTAATTAAACCTTTCGGTAAAACATCATCACTATTTGACGAAGAGATGAATGACCATACCACAATAATGATGCTTTTATTAGCTCTTTTGCCTGAAAATATTGCCACACCCATCAGCCTCGGAAGAAGGGCGAGCCTCCACATGTAGTTGCACCAATTGCTCATGCTTATCTATCACAAGAAAATCAAGGTTGTCGTTCTAAATAAATATTAATATTGAAAGTGGCCATGACTCTTGACTTGCTGGTTCTTCGTCAATGTCACTGGCGGCATGCTCTTATCAGTCAGCATCCCACTAATCAATTTACAGTTCACCCACTTGGCTAAGCACCATATGTCAAATTTTGAAAAGTTTTGGTGATCTAAAATCTAAAACCACCATATTTTACTCCCTAATTTGTCTCCATCCATCCACCCATCTTTTTTTTTTTTTTCGATATTGTCAAAAGCAATGGCTGAATTATTTTGAACATTTCAAAGGCCAATGACAAAAATGGGCATTTTACAAGCAAATACTAAGAACAAATAGACTGAAATTTCTAAGAATAGTAAACCAAGAATAGCCAGAGATTGAATATTAATCCCTTAAATGTTTCCAAAACCCTCTCTATTCATCAGACCTTAAAAAAAATATAAAACAAAACTAAAAGAAACACTAAAAAGAATTAAAATAAAAAGATAAGACTAGAGATAGAACCTCCCTATAAACTACGGTAAGAAATGTCCTTCCTACGATACATTACAAGCCTGCAACCTACGAATAGAACCGGACTAGCTAAAACCGGGTTTTTTCTGGTTTAAAAACCGGATTAAATAAACCGGGTTTGATTCCGGTTCATAAAAACCTACATGGTGTTGAAAGATTCAAAAACTGGGAACCATCTGATTCAATCTGGACTCCGGTCCAGTCATCTCCTTCTTCCTTCTCATCTCTATCACCTTTCGATGGCTATTTGAGTGAACTTCACTCGAAAAGGTAGGACTGCATGCCGGTCTATATTCCGGAAAAAGCCGACCGGATTTATACCGAACCCCGCAAGCATTACATAGCGTTTTGGCACCAAGTGGTCCGGTTCGCCACTGTGGGGTCTTTTGAACCTGGCAGTGACTGCACCGACGCTGAAATTGGGTCGAAGCCATTAACCCACTGGTTTGAACTGCCTGTCGTTTCTTTGATTTTTTCATTGGAGGTTCACTGAACCACGATACCGAGTTAATTGTCTGAAACATTTTGGTTGAAACAAGGCATGGCATTGACGAGGTCGATGATGTCGAAGGTGACGGTGTCTCAGATTGGTTCGACCCAACTGACCAGGTCCGACCGCTGGGTCTGGACCTTTTGGTTCTTGCCTTGGAAGGAACCCTTGAGGGGAAAAAACAAGAACTTTCTGCGAAAGTAGTTTTGGGTTCTGGTTCAAACCGAATATTTGCATGGCTTTCTGGTTTTCCTTTACAAGCAGGAACCAAAAGAGAGACATCAGACAAAGAATCATCCACAAAGTGAGATACCCATTCAAGCTCTGCTAAATCATCAGTCTGTCAAAAAACAAAACACGGGTTTCGTTAAAAACACAAAAAATAAAAAATAAAAAACAGAAACAAAAAGGGACAAAATTCAATCCTTTTCACTTACTGGTACAGCAAGTTCACTTGTAAGAAAAGAATCAGAGAAACTGCTCGAGTTAGAGTTAAAATCATCATCAACACGGTCCTGAGAGGAATCAGAAAAAGAGTCTTTCTCTTCTTCTTCTTCTTCTTCTTCTTCTTCTTTTTGTACATAACCATCTTTAAATTCACCATTAGAGAAGTCCAAGAAACAATCAACAGAGAAATCTTGATCACTTGAAACAACACCAGGTGTGTTAAAAACCAAGCAATCTTCACAAAAAGCTTGTTGGGTTTCATGTTTTGTTGTTAGTTCGCTACGTAAACTTGACTTCAAGGCTCTTGCTTCCATGCAGAACTCCATTTTCTATATTCAAAATTCAAGAACCAAAAAACTTTAAACAAAAATCCCTGAATAACAAGTCTTTTTGCCCATGAAACAAATAATTGCTTGTTTATGTGTTATAAATGGTTAAATTACCTGATAACAATGAAGAGAAAGAAGAAACTGAGAGGATAGATGAGATTGGTTGGCACTGAAACGAAGGCCTGTTACTGGGCGAAACTGGTGCGGAGTTAATGGCTTATCTTTATCTGCCTCTTTCTCTCTTATATCTCTCTCTATTATTAGGAATTCGTTTTTTTTTTTTTTTTTTTTTTGAAAATTTAAATGTTTGTATATAAAAAAGTTAATAATGGTGAATTATTGTGAGTGATATTTGGTCAATTTACGAGATGACTATTCTTGGGTCTTTATAGGTTGGCCTGTTTTGGACCGAATCCACAGTTTCCATATTGATTTTTCACCTTTAGCCATCATGGCTTGGTCATACGAATCCGCCACAGCAAAGATAAAAAAAGAAAAATTTTGAAAGCACTTTCGTGGTTAGTGAGGCCCCGGATCCTTCGATGTTCTATCCATCTCCAGCTGCCCTCGATTGCCCTTGATTTATGGTGAGAAAGATTCCAAAGGCGATATTTTAAAATAGATTGATTTTAGTTAGGAACATTTCTTAATAAAATCACGGTTTCCAATTTTCAAGATAATCTATCCAATCTTAAACACCCCTGGGCTAATACTTAATTACTAAGAAAAAGACAGGTTTTGTTTATCTTGTCACATCTCCATTTAAGATTTTACCAAAAAATGTATTCCATAGAAGATTGCGAAGAAAAGTTCCAAAAGAATACAGGGAATTACCGTGTATTAGGTAGTCTTATGAGATACTAACTCACAATCTCAATCAACTAATGAAATTATTTATTACGAAAGATCATTAGGTATTTTTTTTATATTGATTTTTTTTTTTTTTTTTTAACATAGAAACGAGATCAGTCGATAGCTATTATGGGGGGTTACATTTTTTTACGAGTCGAAAAATAGTATACAGAAATATCTAATAATTATTCCTAATACATTAGGTCTAAATTTAAGTATATTTACATTTAAATTAGAAACATAAAATTTAAGAAAAGTCTATAATCATATACACAAAATAAAAATATTATATATAGAAAATAAAAAACTAATTCGACAAGTAATCTAAACTGCATGCTGCCATTAATCATATAAATAACTCATGGTATCACCGTGTAAAACTTTTAGATATAACTCATTTTTTAATATAATCTTTACTTTACAAAATTTTCATCCAATCAAACTTTCTATGTTAAAATTACTTATCTTCTTCCAATTAAAATTATTTAATGAATGCAACAAATTAATAATATTTTTAAAAAATTAACTATAATTATCTATACGTTTTCTTTATATGTCACGTGCGTGTTTGTATCTCAATTAAATACATATAATCTAAAAATTATATATGTACATATACAGCAACCTAAAATTCGGTAATGACTGATGAGAATCTCACAATTGCATCAAAATATTCCTGTCGCACTTTTTTTTTTTTTAATGGTCAAATGAGATCAATTAAATTCTTCCATATTCATATATTCATGAAAAATAATTAGGTGCGAAATTAAGATGATGATATTATAAAGGACACACCAGCTGCCACGTGCGTAAAACTTAAAAAACCGTGATAGTTCTAAATTGTACAACATAAAAAAGAAAAAAAAAGGTTGAAAATCAACAAATAGGCTATGGTAAAAATCAAGTCATTCTAGAAACGATAAAAAGCATAGTAGCATATGGCGCCAAACATCATTCAAAAAAAATGGAAAAACATTAAGGAATATCTATAGGAAACCACTATCGCTTGGGCATTTTTGTCTTCACAGATTGCCCTTTCAAATTCAAACTATTTACCAAAGTAGTTTTCCTTGTCCGCGTTAACTGCGCCACCATTTATGGTTGATTTTTCGTGTCCTCTTATCGCTTCAACAACCAATCGCAACTGTAACGCCTATACTATCGAACAGTCACTGGTGCTTGACGGATTTGCATCTAACGATCTAATTTGAAGTGAGCATCTAGACACTGAGAGAGCGAGTGGAGTGAGCATTTAAAGCGCTCCACGCTGTCAAGCAAATTGTAAGCGCGTTGCATTATGGGCTCTAAGCTGGCTCTAGTGGACCATGACCAATTTATATACCCATTTCATTCCAAATCTTTTAAAGTGAAATCCATGAAATAAAAGAAATTATATATATATTCCGTCCCGGATTTATTTTTTCAAGAGACAGTAAATAAGTGGATTTATTCATGTATTTGTATCAGTTATTCATTTGTATTCTTATGTTTTTAACTTTTCAATTTCTCTCGAGTTATAGGTTGTATCAGTTTTATTTAAATTTTTTTATTTGTTTAAATTAGATATCATATTTTTCATTTTGCATTTCAATCAGCCCACTTTTTTTATTTTTGTTTTAATCAAATCTTACATCTTTTATTTTTATTCTAATTTTCTTCTTCCGTCCATTTTTATCGCTTTGTAAATTTCCATTCATCCTTGAATTTTATCAAATGATGCCATCTGAAAAGTGCCCAAAAAAATAATAATAAATTGACAGAAATATAAGCAGAAAATCAATATAAAAAAAATATTTTTTTTTATTATTAAAATCTTATGATCCCTCTCCCCTATCATGTCTTTTTTTTTTTTAATTTTTTTTTCATCGAATAGAATCTTTTAACACGTGCAAACAATTACGCTACATGTCAAAAGTGTCCTGTACTCAAACTAACGTTTCATTTGTATTGGATTTCAATTTTTCTTTTTCAGAATTATTGTTTAATATTTTAATGAAAAATTGCGTCTGTGTCACTGAGAGAGTGTATTGGAGGCAACAATTGTAGTCGTTCCTTTTTATTAAAAAAATATTTTTATCATGTTTATTTTTATCTTAATTTTATTATTGTATTGTCAAATAACTATTTGATAGTATTGATGAAAAAATTATGGTATTTGTTTTATTGAAGAAATATATTTTTTAATTTTAATTTTTTATTCTTATTTTTTCAGTTATATTGAGATATTTCATGAATTTTAGAAAAGAAATTAAAATTTACTCATTAAAAAAATTAAAAGTTACGAGATCTAATTGGAACAATTAAAGATTTTAGGTAAAATTAAAAATTTTATAAACCTTAGAAGAGCAAATCAAAATTTATTCTATATTCGTGTGAGGCCTATTCCAATGAATTGTGTTAAGAGTTTTTTTTTATATAAAATAACATATCAAAGCGTCCATTTATTTAGTGATCGGTCTTACACAAATATAAAAAATTACCTCATAAATTAAAAATATTTAATAATGTCGCATTCGCATGTATAAATAAAATCGAGACTTAATATAAATTAGCTATTGAGTTAATTCAACGAATTTAAAAATCACAAGATTAATTAAACGAAATCGAATAATATAGTAATTAATAGATTAAAATTAAAAACACATAATTAAAATTGAATAACTAACACAAACACAATTATAAATTTAGGAGTTTTGCATTTGATCTGAGAATACAGTTGATAGTTACACATTCATCTTTAAAAAAAAAATTTAATAAAAAGATAATATTTCATCTCCTTCAATGGCAAATGACTAATACAGGCAACATAATCATGATTTTTCGCTGCTGCTGTTGTTCGCAATAACTACATGGATGGAACTTGCACGACGCTTTCCCCTTTCTTTCTTCCTCCAATAATTAGGGCTGTTTTCCGAATATTGACTTTGTTGTCAATCACTTCTTTTTCTTTTTCTTTTTGCCTTTTCATATAACCAAAAGAAAAGAGTATATTGATGTTAAATCGACAGTAACACGAATAAATACATTTTTAAATATTTTTATATTTTATTAATAGCCAAGACACAATACAAGAATTTTTGCAATGCCCAAAATTAATTCTTTTACCTTACCTGCCTGATATTTAGTTTCTCTGTCATACATTTACTAATAGTATGTAAATCAGTAATTACCTCAAAAAAGAAAAAAGTTACATAAATAGAAATGACAATGTACAGATAACCAATCCATTATTTCAATTTTTTATCCTATTTATTAAAAGAATATATAACCAATTGTTTATTAAAAAATCACTATATAAATATTTATCTAGCTCACACTCGTTATATATTAGTTTATTTGTTTATTTAATACCTATTAAATACCTGTTAAATTTAATTTATCAAAAATATTCATTTTAATCCCTATATTTCCTAAGAAAAGTTTTTTCATCCATAAATTTTTATTTTTTATTTTTGCATTTTGGTCATTTATTTATAAGTTTTTTTGGTCTTCAAAGTTTTCAAAAAAAATATTTTGATCATTAATTTTTAAATTTTATGCAATTAGTTCTTTTAAACGTTAATAAATTTTTTTAAATAAATTAATAAATATCAATAAGGTAAAGAGTGATTAATTATATATCGAGACCATATTAGTAGATATGTATTTTTTAAAATTTGTCCACTTCAATACCTATTAAACATTCATAATGAGTATTATTAATAAAATAAAACAGATATCTGTTTTATATCCAATCTATTGTCATCCCTGTACATCTAAAATTGAGTTACTTTTGATAAAAGAACGCTAATAAAATCGAAATAACTCAAACTATACAAGCATATTCAACAAATATATGTCAGGTCCATGAATATTATACTCATAGACCTAACTTATACAGTACAAAATTCTATCCACATAATTTAAGGATGAGTATATAAAATCTACATCAATAAAATATCTATACCGATTACATTATTTGTTTTAAATCTAGTCTAATAGTAAGGTTGGCAGTTTTTTTTTTTTTTTCTGACAATACGTCCAGAATTTAACTTCCAGTTTTGCTTTTGAAATTATATTATAATTCAAACCATCTATGTACTATGGATTGCTCCGTTGGATTCGAGGGTTTATAAAACTTATGGGAAACACCT